ATAAGTATTTTTATGCAATAAGTTCAAAAATCATATGGTTCTTCTTTTATTAATGATTTTTTATTTTCATTTTTACTTTACGTTACTTTGATGGAACAACAAATAATCAGATTTGTTTCTTTTATGAAGCTGTATTTTTTTTCAATAAGCACTTAAACCAACCAACAGACTTTTTCACCTAATAATTAATCAAGTATTTATACTCAAATAGTATTTGAATTAAATGTGGCATAAAAATGGTTAAATTATTGTTATTTTGCAGAAAGTTTTTGTCAAGAGAGAAAAACCTCCTAAACTGAACATTTACATTTTATTTTGAAATTCCTAGGCCAAACCTTTGTCATCTCAGCTATCCTAGACTTTTATTTTGAAAGGTATCTTCACATCTGTTAAGGGACAGTTAGGAAACAAAATCACACTGATAGTTTCATAGTTTCATATAACGATGTTAACATGACCCACAGTCTGTGTCGTGTCCAGGTCCCAGTGATTGGTGACGTCTTAAAAAATTTTTTTTTAATAAAGCAATGATAATGGACTTTTTAAAAACAGTTGATGGAGTTTCAACTGGGACCAAAACAAAGCATCTTAGTTATATATATATATTTTTTCTTTTTTCAGCAGAACCCTTTGTCGTAGTCCCATGGTTTTATTTTCTAAGCTCATGGATCAAGCCTTACTCCATTATTGTCTTGTGGATCATCAGAGCTGCTCAGTGAATATAGTGAGCGAAGGTGAAATTCCCATTTGTCCACATCTTCGTGTGGACAGCCATCAGCTGCTCCTGGTGGACTTCCCGTCACACCTCTCTCCGTCTTCTGGGAGTGCTCATTTTAAAAGGATTTGCAGCATTTATGACGCTCTAATTGTTCTGGCGTACGTCTGTCCCAAATGGTCCAGGATGTGATGACATCATCTTCAGTATAGTTCAGTGGTGGATCAACTGGTCAATGAGGGTAAATGGAGACGTTAAAGCAGGTCATCCAGGCTGAGTTTACCTTAAACCACTCAGTTAAAGAATATCAGTTTGGTTTTTTGTTAAAAAATAGATTATTTTACCAACACTAGATATTGATTATCTTTAAAAACGTCATTTTTCAAGTTTTTTTGTTTTAGGTCTGTTACTTAATAAGAGGGTAATTTTCTCTCTATAGCTGGATGAAATTAATTTTCAGGGCTTCTCTTTGACTTGAAAAAAAAAAACTGTCTTCAGCAGCCATGGTTATTTATAGAAGTTAAATTTTCACTCTGGAGAAAACAGAAGGAAATCTCTCTTTTTAGGTTAATATTCATTTTGTTCATGATTAATTACTATATAGCCTCAGACTATTCACAGCCAGTTAGAGATATCATTTTTAACATGTATTTAATCAGTGCGCCCTGGTAGACCCTCGTGTTGAGACGCCTTTACGCAAGGAATTACAATTACCAACAATCTCAGGTCGAAACCCGGGCGTTTTTTAATGGTCTCTGGAGAAGTGTGACGGAGTGAGCGCCGCGTCACAGAGGAGACGGAGTGAGCGCCGCGTCACCTCGTAGATCATGGAGCTCCTGTCGATCAGGTCAAACTATCAACGCGCACGTCGACGTTGGTACCAGAGAAATATGTGGAATTCTTCTTCTCTCTCTATTTTGGTCCTGACTCTGTGGTAGTTAATAGATTTGACAGGTATGACAGCGATATGTCTCATTAGTCTGACACCTTTTATTTTCAATATAATTCTGTTTCATGTGACAAATATAAACCTCACTTTTCTTCCCTCTTCTCCTTGTTAGATATGTTAGATTTTTTTTTTTTTGCTCCACCGCTGCATGCTCGTGAGAACAGGACAGAGTCATCATAGTGACTGTCTAATATATGAATATTATTACACAGTCGTGTGATATTCTCCACAAAACAGGCAAAGCATCATGGGCCCAGCGTGATGCACAGGTTTGAATTCTTTCTGTTAATATTCTCATATTATTTCACGTGGACACTTTTTCAAAAACAACAAATGTTCTTTAGGTATTTGAAGAAAAAAAAACAGAGTCACATTAATGTTTATTTCATTCTTTTTCACACAATACGACGATTTCAATACAGTTAAACCTAAATCTGTTCTGCGTCAAGTTGGCTTGAAGTCGTGAGCCGGGTTTTCAATGACACACATTCTATTTGACGAGAGAACAAGAGAGAGTCATCGAGATGTTTGTTTTTCTTAGCCTTTTTGTCTTAACATTTTCTGGCAGCATCAGTGAAGTCAAACAACCTTTGTTTTGGTTTGATTTTTTTATACCACCTTTGGATGGTGGTGAATATAAGCCTTGTTAAATCTGCAGCATTATTTAAAACTCCTGGATTATTGAGCCATTTCTGCCTCAGTGTCAACTTCAGAGCCGGTGACAGAGTGACTCAGCTTTTTTGTACTTTTGTCGAAGCAGTTCTTTTGGAATTCTGTCATGTGGCGACGATGTAATACGTATTCTACCCCATGAAGTAAAGAAGCAGAGCATGTTTGTATCAGTTTAATCTAACACTCGTCACTCACCGTCTTGGTTGACACATCTACATCTTTCTACTCCTCCCTCTTCAGTAGAACACCTCCTCCGTCTCTGTCCGTTACACCGACCATCTCCACCTCCTTCCTTTGTCCAGTATATCTACTCCTACAACTGTGTGTTCTAACGCAGCAGTTCTCAAACTTTGACCTCATACAATTCATAAATCATTATTTTCATCATGTAGAAAGGATAGAACTGTAATTGGAACATAATGACTACGGTAACGTTAACCTCAACTCGACCAGATTGTCAGTGGGCACCACGGCATCGTACCGACAATAACATCCTGCCTCAGAGACACGACATCTTTCAGCTCAACCTTCAGGTCTGGGAAAATTGTTGTTTTTTTCCCGGTTGATTTTAGAAAAGCTGATAAAGGTCAGCTAGGCACGGCATGAAACCGCTCTCGATGCAGACTGTCTGTCTGTCGCCACAACCCTCAGACTGTAAAAGACCCACTCATTCCAGCAGCAGGTCTGAGAGTGTCCTCCTGTCTGCAGCTTGAAGAGCGTTTCCTCATCACCATTCCACCGCCTGGTGCTCAGGATCGAACCTCCAGAGCTGTGGGTTATTGTGTGATTGTGTTTTGTGTAATGACTAGAGGTCACAGTGAAGATTACACGTTTATTAATATTATTTATATTTATATGGTTGGTGTGTGAGCTGAATGGGCCAAAATCCACAAAACATTTAAATATTTTTGGATCAGTTTTATTTCTAATCATTTGTCTTCGTTTCGGTCACGTGACCGTCACTGCACGTGTGATTGGGATTTTTCTTGCACAGGTGAAACGCAGAGCTCACATCATGCAGAGTTTTGGGTGATGCAACAACTGAAAATGCCATTTCTCAGACATGAGATGTGGTAAATGCTTACAGCACACTCTGCTTCCCACTCACAGTCAGAATTCACCGTGCTGTAAACCTCAACTCAAAGACGCAGTCGATACTTTGTCTCCCCGTGAAACAGAAAAGCTGCACCATCAGCTCTGACGTTCTCCCAGCTGAAACTGGGATCAAACCCACAACGTACAGCTCTGTGTCAAACCACTGATCAATTCAACCTTTAATTCACACGTATCCATGATGACTCCATCACCTCCAACCACAGGGCTGTCAAATACCAGAGTTAAAAACTGACGTTCCAGAACAGCTGATGATTTAATCAGAAATGAACATTTGGAACTTTATATGTTCCACATTTCAAACACCAGAACCAATTTCCCGTCCCGTGTGCCTAATCAATGGTACACACCTCCACTGAGCTGATGTTATATTAATAACATTTGAACACAGAGCAGTGATTACCTCAGCAGCCCCAAACCCAGAGCACCACAGAGTTCAACCAGTAACACGTTTTCCAATGATCCACTGGCTGCAAAGGCCCGTGATAAGAAGAACCAAATATCATCTGTGCTCCGTGCTAAATCAGCAGAACACGGCTATCGATTGGTCTCCTCAGATTGCCAATACAGTTTGAAGTCCCCTTGGAAACAAAGACGTCTTTGTCAGAGCGTTGATATCATTATCATGCCTTCAGTGCAGTGAGGGGACGCTGGTCGCCGTAGGCCCGATAGTGTCTCCGCTCCAGATGGTGAATGGAGAATTAACTTTTCTACCCATGTGTGAGAAACAGTTTGTTTGTGAAATGTTGTATAAATGCACGGTGAATTGCATTTCTAAACGGAGCGGCGTCTCTCCATAAAGCTGGAGAGACGCTCTGAGAACTGGGATTTGATCTGGGACCAAAAACTGCTGTACAGATTTTTTTGTGATCGTTTTGTGTCTGTGCACATTTATAGAAATCCGTTTTTCTCCAGACATCAGTGAAAGGTTAGTGAACAATAGGCATATTTGAAACCTCACCATAATGTAGCTGAAGAGATTCAAAGTTGAAGCGGCCCAGTCGGTTCTGCCTTTGGTCTCAGCAGGACCCAGAACGGTTCTACGGGGGAGCAGCAGGTCCTCGCTTTCTCTTTAAACCTCTTTGCCGACGGACATGAATATTGATAAACCTCTGAGTCTCTCCTTCGCTTTCACAGCATTTTGACATTTGTTTAATTCCACTTGAAGGACGGCAGCTATTATTAGGATCTTAAATGTGTGTTTTTCTCTCGTTTCACCACCAGGTGCAACAACAGAACCCAGTGCATTGTGATCACTGGTTCAGATGTGTTCCCTGACCCATGTCCAGGAACCTACAAATATCTGGAGGTCCAGTATGAGTGTGTGCCCTACAGTAAGTACCGACCTTTTGTCCTTTGTTTTTTCTAAGCCAGTGTCACAGTACGGTGTTCTCTCTTCCTCTGTGTCCTCTGTATCGTTCATGTCACGTCACCATCCGTCTGGTTCCGTGTCCCTGTCCTGTCCACACTTTCCTGTCCTTTGTTCTTCTAGCACCGTTTTCCTCCGTCTCTTCTTCACTCTGTCACACCATGAACTTCATGAATTACGACCCGTCGTCCCCTTTGATCCTCCTCTGTACAGTCTTTATTATTGATGTGCTCGCTCGTCTTTCCAGTGGATCAACCGGCCCGGGTGGGAGGCTGCAGAATATAGGTTGGAAAGGCAGAACAGTACTAGTACTGGACTCAGAACCCACAACCTCAACACATACAGACACACTTCATCCATGGCCGTAACAAAACTGGCTCCTGGTTAAATAATACTTAAAACACTTCATTTGAAAAGGTAGTTCTACCACATCTCTCTCTCTCCTCCTGGATATCTGGAAGATTTAGCTCCAAAAAAAAACCTGAGATTTTTCCTGTTCTTTGGCAGTAGAATTCCACACCCTTCACTTTAACCTTTGCAATTACACTAATAATGAGATGATGATGATGATGATGAGGAGGAGGAGGAGGAGGAGATGACCTGTGGGAATCACTAATAAGGTCAGATGTACACATGTACATCAGGAGAAGAGACACAAGACTGTACATTCATCATGTTGTTGTGATTTAAATCTGGTCAAATTCTCTTATAGAGATTTTAAATTCACTCCATTTGTGTTTGACGTTCACCATCACACATCATTCTCGGTGACGTAAACCAGTGCAGAAACAGAACGTACGAGTGGACATCATTAGACGCTGCACTTCATTATTTCTTAAAGGTCAACCTCTCCAGGCTGAGGACCTGTAATTATGTGAGGAAAGTTAAACCGTGTACCTCCTGACCAACAATTCTTCCATCCTTTTTTTTTTTTTTTTTTTAAATACTACTTGTTTTTTGGTTGGTTTGTTGTTGTTTTCTGGATTTGCCCCGTAGTTTAGTGAAGTATTGATTCTGTGTCTTGCTGTGTTACCTCATACTTTAATGGAAAGATTAGCCTGGAGATGCACTGGTGTCCACCCACTGTCATGATTATCTTTTGCCTCCTTCTTGCCTTCACGGAGGAGACAGTCCAGACTGCCGTAGACTGGTGTAGACTGGTGGTGAGCAGTGTGTGTTGCTGCCCAAGGACTCCCAGTTTTGGCAGAGGCTGTCTAACGAAAACAATTCCAAACAGGTCCTCACTTCACTTTTGAGCAGTTCCAAACATGCATGTCTGTAGCACCATCTCTTTGCTTCTTAAGGTCCATGCCCAGCCAGAATAGGACCAAGAACACAGAATGTATCCTATCACAGCTGCCCTGGTAAGTGCTTAGTGTTCTCCCAGTTTGATCCAGTCTGCACAAGCCCAGTCCAACCCTGTCCACACGAGCTGTGTGTGTGTTTTGTCTTTTGTGTTTTGTTGCTTTCTTTTCTACACACCTTCGTTGTCACTCTTCTCCAAAAATGTAAAACACTCACAGTCAAACGAGTTTTTACCCCAAACGTCAGGATATATGTGACAGAGATGTAGAAACTGTCCAGAAAAATTGAGGATTTTAATTTCCATTAAAAAAAAAACCAGAAACCCACACCAAACCTAAAAAAAAAAAAAAACAGAAACCCACACCAAACCCTAAAAAACTGACTAGTGATTGGATTATAAATAGACTCTGCCTCTGGAGTTAGTATCTCTTTTATTTTTAACTGTGTTTTTAATTATATTTCTCAGCATTTGCATAACAATGATTTTTTTTCACCCTAGCAGACCTTCCAAAAACTTAAAAATATTTTTTGTCCTTTAATATTTTTTCACTTCCTAATTTAGATTTTGTCATGAACTGCCCTGTTAGCGCCAGCGTTCTCATGTCCCACAGATGGACACATATAACAAGGACTGTTCTGTGTTACTTTACTGAGGTCGGTGTTCTGTGAAAGTTGTATTAAAAGCTAAACAAAAGACACGAACAACAGTCGATGTCATTATTCCCTCAAACATTTGACTCTGAATCTGAGCTCCTACAACACGAGCCCCTCACACTCCTGTCTCGGTCAGGTGTTGAATTTGGGTTTAATGAGGAGTGTTGAATTCGTTGGGTGTTGTGTCTGGGACGGGCTGTGTCACGTGTGTTGAAATGATCTGTATTCAATGTGTCTGATTCTCTTCCCTTCCTCTCTGTGATAAACTGCAGGACGCCTGGACTCTCTCTCTTTTTGTCACTGGTTTCTCATCTCTCTCTCTCTCTCTCTTGTTTCTTTTTCTACTTTTCTCCATTTCTACTAATACCATCAGATTTCCTGTCATGTGTTCCTGTTTTCTTTTCAGACCTTCTCACCCCTCTGCTCTACTCCAGTCTCTTCTTTAATGTTTCGGAAGCTGATTTTTAAGAATTCAACTGTTGTTCATCTTTTTGTCTTTTCTCTTAAGTCTCACTAAGTTGTGTATTTTAGTTTCTTTATGATAGTGATAGAGACTTGGTTTTGTCACTTATACGTCTTCTTTAGATTTATCAATAAGACTAAAGTTTCACTCAACACTTTTTAAAACCAGGTTTTCTAATGAAAATCCAGGAGCAGTGAAGTAACTGTGACTGTTTCATGTGTTGAATTCAGATTTTACTGTCAGTAAAGCTGTGTTTACATTTAAAGACAAATACAACTTCTTCTTCTTTCTTTTCTTCTTCTTTTCCTTCATTTTTCATTGTCTCAGTTTCTTCTTCTCTTTATTTCCCCTCTGTTCTTTTTTCTTCTTCTTCTTCTGTTGTGGAAAATAAAGTCTTAACATTTAGATGGTTAACCAGTTGGTGTTGTTGGATTTAAGAACGGTTCATCCAATCAAACTGTCATTAAAGTTTAACACAAGCTTCGTAAAGTTAAGATTGTTAAAGTAGATGACAAATATAACAGTGAATAAAGTCAGTGCCACCTGGCTCTCTCTCTCTCTCTCTCTCTCTCTCTCTCTCTATATATATATATATATATATATATATATATAAATATACAGTATAAGCATAAATATGTGTGTGTGTGTAGTGAGCATGTGTATTTTAGTCTTAAAGGGTTTTTTTTCTTTATTAAGAAAAATAAATGGATGCTAATTTTGACTTGAACTACACAATGTTTTAATTTCCTGTCAGTAGTCGAGAATAGTCTTTAAATTATTTTTAATATGAACCAGATATTCACGAAGGCTGAGGGAAAAGTCTCAAATTAAAAAGCTACACAGAAAATAGCTGGGATGTTGGTTTAGTTAGAAAACAGTGACACAACTAGAATCTTCTATCAACTCAGTCTAGTCAAACTCAGACTGGGGTGAATGTGTCAGTGTGTCCACGCTGGTCCTGGTTGAATCTGTGATGGACGTCAGATGTTCTAATGTGACCTTTCTTCCTAGAGACGACCTGGTTGGCTCCGTGTCAGCTCTCTCACACCCCCGTCTTCTCTTTAGGTGGACCCTTTCTGTCCTTGTCTCATGACTTGTTCTTCATGTGTATTCATAGCTGTGACAGTTAATTCATAATAATCTCTTTTCTTCCCTTGCACTCCTTTCATTCTCTCTCCCAACGCTTAAAATAGAAGTGGAGCAAAAAGGTAAATAACAGACACCATCCAATCCCCAGCTCCTTGTTTTGTGGCATCTGGTTGTAAACTACCTTTTTTCCCATGGTGGCCCCTACAAAACCATCGCAGACATTATCTGTAAAAACCCCCTCAACTGTAGTATTGATGACTGCTGTAGTGCAAGAGAAGTAAGGCTGGCCGTAAAAAAGACGTAAAAAGATGTAAAACAGAGGGGGTGTGTTGGCTGCAGCCCACGGGGGCGTTCTCTCCTCATTCTTCTCTGGTGCTTTTTCTACTCAGCAGAACCTCACATTGCCTGGCTTCCAAACCCTCTTTCCATAGCATGTCATGGTTCTAGTGTTTCTGGCCTCTTTCTTTCAACTGTTGCTTCCTATTGGTCCTCTGCTCTCCAACACTTTCTCCTTCACTCTTCCCCCCATCACTTTCTGCTTTTCTCTGTCGACCCCCGTGCCTCTTACTCTACGCCTCGGGGCAACAGCCACGACACCTCCAGACATGTTTAATGCTTTTTCTTCTCCAAATATTTGGCGGCGATATTTGCACTTCCACCTCATACTGACACGCCTCCCAGGTACACAGTAGATCGTACACAAGAACACAGACACTGTGCAGACTCCGCTGACTCCGGCTCACATTTGTAACCTCTCACATTTGTTTCCATTTAACTTTAGTTGTTGTTTACAGGACCAATTGTTTTTCCTAAGTTCTCTTTCTGTTCTACTTTCCCTTCGTTTGTGTTCTACTCCCAACAGTCAATCTCTTTTTTTCAGACCACTTTATATCTTTATTTCTTTTCTTTATTAACCTTCCTCTTTCTATTTTTCTATGCACACCACCAACCCACCGTACACGCTGCCTTATGTAGATGTTAGACGTTCTCCCCACTCTTTAATGTGTGTTTGTTCCCATATTCCTCTTAGAATACCTGTAGAACGAGACAGTTTTATTTTCACTAAAATCATGGATCACTGCCACAAATGTTAACCTGTGTGTGTTTTTTATTCTACTTTTCTCCCAAAACTAGTTTTTCTTTGTCCTGGGACTCTGAAATCTGTCGGTGAGCCTTCATTTGTGTATGAGGCGGAGCAACAAGCTGGTGCCTGGTGCAAAGACCCGCTGCAAGCTGGCGACAAAATTTACTTCATGCCTTGGACTCCTTATAGGACAGACACTCTTATCGAGTATTCGTCTTTGGACGACTTCCAAAACGCACGACAAACCATCACCTACAAACTGCCCCATCGGGTGGATGGGACCGGATTTGTGGTCTACGATGGGGCTGTGTTTTTCAACAAGGAGCGTACGCGAAACATTGTGAAGTTTGACCTGCGGACTCGTATAAAGAGCGGCGAGGCCATCATCAACAACGCCAACTACCACGACACCTCGCCCTACAAGTGGGGTGGTAAAACAGACATTGATCTGGCGGTGGACGAGAACGGGCTGTGGGTGATCTATGCCACAGAGCACAACAACGGCATGATGGTCATCAGTCAGCTCAACCCGTACACGCTGCGTTTCGAGGCTACGTGGGACACGGCCTACGACAAGCGCTCGGCCTCCAACGCCTTCATGGTCTGTGGAGTACTGTACGTGGTGCGCTCCACCTACGAAGACAACGAAAGCGAGGTCAGCAAGAGCCTCATCGATTACGTTTACAATACCAAACAGAACCGTGGGGAATACGTCGACATCCACTTTCCAAACCAGTACCAGTACATTGCATCAGTGGATTATAATCCCCGAGATAACCAGCTCTATGTGTGGAATAATTTTTACATCCTGAGGTACAACCTGGAGTTCGGCCCACCTGATCCGGCACACGGTAAGTCAACCACACCCCCAGCCGTTTGTCCTGCACACCGTGCTGTTAGACAGAACTGCAGAAAAACTCATTTTAATCTGTGGACGCGACACATCGATTATACCTTTGGAATTACCCACAAATCTGTCAGGTGTCACAGCTGACTGACTTTTAATTTAGACTCTCTGACGTGATAGAAGAGTTTACAACAAGTAGTGGGACTGACGTGATAGAAGAGTTTACAACAAGCAGTGGGAATCCTAGATGTGTGTGTGTGTCACTGGAGGGAGTGTGTGTGGTGAGTAACACCTCGTAGCCAGTTAGCACGTTGTAGGGGAGCGGCCAATGGGGATTTGGGGGTGTTTTACAATCCCGTCGTTCCCCAGGGACCCCCCCACCCCCCCCCCCCCCCCCCCCACCAGCAGATCTGTGTCGCTCACAGGCAGTAAGTGGTTGAATAGGTAAATATATTCTTCCTCCTGGAAACATGCACGTCTGGACAGGTGCAAAGTCGTGCCCGGGGCCAAGGTTGGGTCATTCTCACCGTGCACTGAAACTCTAAATCTCCATCAGGTATAAAGAAACACTGCAGGTGTATTCTTAGGATTAAGGGCGAGGAGAAAAATGATGGCACACAAAAGGCAGACAGATTAGTCACCCAAGGTCACGTATTTAAAAACATCCAGCTCGTTTTTAATTAAGATGTCAAGAGATGAAGGAAGGTAAGCCTTGGCTTATTATGCTGCTTCATATTAAGCCTGTTTTTAAAAAAAACAGTTTTGTCAAACAACAGAGTTCAGTTCAGTCGTAGTCACACAGAGGTTCAACCACTTTGGACAGGTTTCTGTATTTATTATTATTATTATTACAGTCAAACGGCTCAGTGTTCACCGGTACGTCCGGTGTTGTCAGATAAGGTGCCGGCTGAGGAGACTGGAGCCAAGTCATTTATGGAGAGGCATCAGTCAGGCTGGGCCGTGAGGGAGAACAGGAGGGGCAGGAGGGGCAGGAGGGGCAGGAGGTTCAGTCATGAGGAGCAGTATAAACACTGTTATTTATTTATTTATTTGTGTTTTCTAAATTAGTGTTTGGGAAGAAGAAGTTTCTGTTTTAGTCACCTGGAAAAAACACACATTTGTACATTCATACACAGAACAGCAAATACTACTACTACTACTATTACTATTACTACTGCTGCTACTACTACTACTAAGACTACCACTACCTACTACAACTACTACTACTACTACTGCTACTCCTGTTAGGTCAAAGTTAAGGTTGAAGTTAAGGTCTAAGGTAAACGCATATTGAAACAGGTGGTTTTCAAGTAGAGTTTTGAACAGAGTCAATAGGGGGGGGGGGGGGGGGGGCTGAGCAGCTGGAACTGACAGAGCAATAAGATCCGACGGAACAGGAAGGAGTGGGAATATTAACCAGGTTAAAGCTACAGAGGCCGACCTACAGAGGCCGACCTACGGAGGCCGACCTACAGAGGCCGACCTACGGAGGCCGACCTACAGAGGCCGAACTCCAGGTGGTTGAGTTCTAGGTGTTATTTAAGCTGCACATGATTTTCCCCAACAACATTATGGCTCATTACTATATAAATATAAATATATAGAAGACTTTAAATGTTACCAATAACCTGAACTCCAGGGTGCTGCATTAACACACTCACACACACTCACACACACACTCACCCACACTCACGTTAGCGTCAGCAGCGGCTCTGTCCTCCTCTGTGGACTGCGTACGACGTGCCGTCCCTGTAGCTGACAAATATAAGTTGAGGCACGGCTGATGTGTAGAAGGGAGAATGGTTGAGTGTGATCATTAAGATGTCAATAAACCTGTCCTCCCTCATGGCTGTTGTTGGAACATAAGTGATGGCACTTTTTTCTGGCTGTCAGTGGTCGTCCCTGTCTTGTGATTTCTTGATGTCTGCTTCACCAAGCAGTAAAACGACTGATCAGAATCTTTCCGTGAAGATGCTCTCGTGTTTGTTGGGAAAAAAAAAGAAAAAAAAAAGAAAACTAGAAAAAGGAAAACAGCCTTTTATAGTTGGTGTAGAAGAAACCAACATTGATATAAATGATAACGACATTAATGTTTGTAGTAGAATTAGTAACAGAATAACAATAATTATAGTAATAAAAGAAGACCATTGGATAATTAAAAAACAACAAAACAAATCCTCAAAATAAGGAAAAAGTGCACGATCAAATTATTAATGTCCATTCAGTAAGAAGTAAGAAAGAATAATAAATTATTGTTATTGTTATTATTGTTATTACTATTATTATTATTATTATTATTATAAAACAGGGAAATTACAAGACCAGCAAAATTAAAAAATGATTAAAAATACGTGATCAAATTATTAAATCCTGTTCAAAGTTTAAAAGAAAATAAATAATAAATATTATGGACAATTATAAAACAACAAAAATGACCCTCAAAATAATAAAAAACTACAAGGTTAAATTATTAAAAGCTTATTAAAATAATTAAGAAACCGTTTGTGTTCAGTGTGAGACTGAAGATGAGTTTTAAACCATATTTTAAACCTGTAACAAAGTAAAAGTCAGCAGGATGTTTATCAGATGGCAGCAGAGACTCATCTTTTTACTACCGTATTTTACTAACACAAAAAAAAAAACTCCATGGCTACTTGACGTTGGGACCCCTTGTGGTGTAGGTGGGTACTTGTGAAGTCGGTTAGTGTGGCTGGTGTGGAGTTAAGGTCAACCCTTGTAGGATGACATGGGGTCACAGCCAACAGGTAGAACAGGTAGACCCAGTGGTCTGAGCCTGGACTCTGACCTGCAGCAGAATCATCCACTCAGGCTCCAAGCCCGTTTCCTCTTCTGCATGTAGGCACTAATAGAGAGACATATTCCTTTGTCGCATGTTGTAAATGAGATAATTAAATAGATTTAAATGAGGTACACCAGGAGAAAACCCATTATGCACCTATTTCTTCCGAGCGCTTATTCAGGTACTGTGTAACGCAGTCTCAAACCACTGAGTAAGCAGAGGAAAAAAGCTATTTTTTAACAGAAGTCTGCACAAACAGACACGTGGAACACAGGTGAGCCCAGAAACCTTTTATTTATTCCATGTTGCAAATTAAAATCTTAATCATTTCTGTGAAAAAAAATAAAATCCCCCGGCTGCAGTGCAGTTAACACCCTCACACATCAGGACCTCCCTGTTTGTTCAGAGGTCACACACGTTCATCCCTTCAGATATAGATCTGCATGTGGGGACAGTGAGACGGAGAATGACCCAATTTGTTTGAAATTATAAGGCACGGCTCGGCGGCCAATTAGCCTGCACGACTCTGCATGTGGTCAAGACAGTGATGTGGAAGTGCTTTACAATGCAAAACTGCTGTTTCTGGTGCAGTGGTGTGCATTAGCACTCACCCCAGAGAGCCTCCCTCTTATCGTCTGATGAATTCACAACTCTTGAATAAGCACCTCCGTGATTCATCGCCGTCTCTGCAGCGTCTACGTGGAGGTCGACCTGTGCACGGCATCATTTACACGGAAAACAGAGGGGGGGGGCGTGAACGTGGGAAGAAGTGGAAGTGAGGTGAAGGGAGGTTTTCGTAACATTCGCTGCCTTTTAAGGACACGTCAGGTTCAACGGCGATGACTGGTGGCTGTAGCCGTGATGCAGGAGCAGGGATCAGGAGCTGTTAAAAACCGCCAATTTGTTTTTTTGCCCTCGCAGCACCCACACACCTCCCACCCCCGTAGACGGCTTTGTGAGAGGGAATGTAATGGTTTGGGGGTGGGGGGGTGAGGGGGGGGGTCACCAGTTCTGTGTTTTATTTCTTTTAATTCTCTCGTGATATTTATGTTCCAGCCGCGTCTTCTTTACCTCCTTCTAATGGAGTCGCTCGACTTCTTACTCTTCGTCTTTTACGTCTTGACATTTTTTTCGAGGTTCAGTTAAAGCTTGAACCACGTCCTTGTCCATCAAACACCCACGTTCATGTCCTGTCTGTCTGGTCGGCTCTGACTCCGGCTGTTTCAATCCTGAGTTATAAGAACGGTGCACGGCTAAAGACAGGATGTGACTGAATCCCTTCCTGTGCCTCTCAATTACCGACATACACAACAACAAATTGAATACACACCGTGGTCCTGATGGTCAGAGTCCAGACACAACACAGTATTATTATTACTTCAATCAGAAGTCAATCTATGACTCTGCCTCTAATTACTGGACGTTATTAACATTGTTAACTCTCCTAAAAACATCTCATATCCTAACCCTGAATCTGCAGCCAGCGGCTAAACATAATTGTTCATTCTTTTCTTAAACGGACTGTTGACTTACAGCAGAGCTGTGTTTTGGTTGTGGATGTTTGAATTCAATGAGGTCTTTCTCTTTATAGTATGTAAAGATGGCCTTAAATCAAACACTATTGCACTGCAGGGAATAAAGCCGCAGAAAAAAAGTCTTTTTTCTCCCCCTCTGCCAGCCGTTCCACTTTAGCCCTCCCTTGTGTTTTATAACCACCGTCATGTGACACGGTGTGACGTTGTTCCGTCTACTTACAACCCACTGGTCTGGTTCTTGGTTATGATAAGTTTACGCTCCTGTTCACAGTGTCTCTGATGTTCCATCGTGGGATAAAAACCCCACCACTGTGGTGTCTGGTGTCGACGACGGCGCTCAGCATACGAGGTCAGGGGGTCACCTGTTTCCTCTGAAATCTGATCGTGATCTCTGACGCTCCTCTGCTGCTGAACATGGAGCGACGTGAGGACCGGTTGTTGCCAGTTTCATCCAAAAACACCCTCAGAGATAATG